TCCCTAGCGGTGCAAGGATCTCAACAGGCTCATATGCGTAATCAAAATTTGTAATAATTTTGTCCAATATGTTTTGACCTCTGGTTGGCTTATTTACAACTTGACAGAAAGTATCATTTTCTAAAATTTGGTTCACATCAAGATCATTAAAATCACCTACTACAGTGAATCCTGCCTCTGGATATTGTGTTAATAAATGATCAATAGTGGAAACAATATGGTCAATATATATATCGGAAGTCGGGTGCTTAGGAGGGTAGTATACAACACAAACTATGATGCCCGAGATTCTCCTAGGTAATCGCGGTGGTCGCAGGTGAATCCAGATGACTTCCAGCCCATCAGGTACGTCGATCGGGAGAGCCCGTGGTTTGAAGCGATGCTTGATGTAAGCTGCTACTCCTCCGCCTTTCTTCCCAACTCTTGGCTTGGAGAAAGACATGTATCCGGCCATCGAGAAGTAATCAATCGGTGTATCTGGATCCAGCCAGGTTTCCGTGATCGCCAAAATATCAGCGTTATAATTATTAACTGCAACAACAATTTCATCAAATTTGTTTTTTATTGACCTCGCGTTCATCAAATAAAGAATTGGTAGATCATAAGTTCTCTTCACATTCAACGAGACAGAGGGTTTAATATGAATTAGATTGCTTGTACAGCTTCTTCTCTTCTCAAAACCTATGCTTCGAGTTTTGTGTGGTTGTAATAAAACTGAAATCTGATGACTGACATTCAGTGACGAAGTTAAATAAGTGTACTCTCGTTGAAAAGGTTGGAGTTTGCGCGTCCCAGCGCGCTTTCCACGATGATTACGGGTAGGGCGTTTGGAAATACCCAGTTCGACGAGGGTTTTCCATGTTGTGGAAGGTAATTGTTTACATCCATTGTGTGATCGTAGTTTATAAAATTCAGAAATCGAATAATGCCGGTTACGTTTCACAAAGACTGGACCCGGATTTGGGTGTATGTCACCACACACCAAAATGTCAATGTGAAAACATGCTGAAGAGTTCGAGTAATATAAACTCGGTGCCTTTAAATACTTGTGATGGTGAAGCAACTTTCCAGTTAATATTGGATAGCAATAACTAGATTTGCTCGTAACGTTAATTGTACATACTTGTTTATTACAAAACACAAGCAGTGTGAACAAGATGGTAGTACAAGGCCAGTACATAATGAATAGCTGTAGGCCTATATGCCTGTATAAATTTAGACGCACAGAAAAAATCTTTTGTCCAAGTTCAATAGGTTTATTGGCTTGAGTGCATCAAACACAAAAGACTGTCAATACAAGCCAATAGATTCAATGGATTGTGTACTAACCTATGGTACTGCTAACATGGCTGTACATAGGCTTGTAAGTACTGGAGGCATAAGTCAAATCTAAAATGTTTCTTCAAAGTACTCACAAACGGATGACCAAAATCTTCCGAAATTTGTCCAGCAGAACCCTTGTTATATCAAAATTCATATGATAACAACTTGGGGACTGGTCCACACAATACATGTTAGTATAACCAAACATTTTCCAAGCACAGAGCGGAGGTCGGCCTGTTAGGCGATCCATCACATTAGGGGGTAGTCGTCATCGGGGTTAATTGTCCTCGGGGGTAGTTTTCCTGGAAAACAGTTGTCCCCGAGGGTAATAATAATAATAATAACGTTTTATTGTCTCAGGGTAGCCACTTCAGTTATGAAACTTATCCAGAGGGCCCTGCATAACATAATATGTTATTACAACCCTTCTCCAATTTAATATGCTGAGCGCCTAGCTAGAAGGCAGAAGGTCCCATTGTTATAAGTCTTTGTTATGACTCGGCCGGGTTCGTACTCACGACCTCCCGTTCATGAGGCGCGCGCTCTAACCACTGAGCCACCATGCCCCGTAGTTGTCCTCGGGGGGTAGTTGTCCTCGGGGGGGGGGGGATTGTCCTCGGGGGTAGTTGTCCTCGGGGGGTAATTCTCCGGGGGGTAATTTTCCGGGGGTAATTGTCCTTGGGGGTAATTGTCCTCGGGGGGGGGGGGTAATTCTCCGGGGGTAATTCTCCGGGGGGTAATTCTCCGGGGGGTAATTTTCCGGGGGGTAATCGTCCTACGGGGATAGTTTTCCGGGGGGTAATTGCCCGGGCGGTGATTGCCCAGGGGGTAATTGTCCTTATACGGGAAGGATGATTATAATGATTACGCATGTGCAGTATTTACGGAGAGTGAAAATATATAAATATATATATATATATCATATATTATTTTGTAATAGAGTGTCGACACGGGTGTAAGGGAAAATGTTTTTTTGATAGGAGTTATTGCGTGCCAGGACTACCCTCTAGACTTCAAAATCTCGGACAATCTCAAGGAGAAAAACTAAAAGGGACACTTACTTCTAGACCACCAGTTCTCGACTACTAACCCCCTAAAATAATTCTTCCAATTATTATTATTCCTAATAGAAACCTGTCTGAGCATAAAACTGAAAAGTAGTTTGACCTGGGGTAGTTGTCCTGAGTGATTTCATCGGGGTACTTCTTAAGGAGTTTTTTGCTAACATGATATTGGGGGTAGTTTTGCAAATTAAGGCCAATTTTCCATTTTTTTAATAAAATTCAGCTGCTGGATATGTTCCCCCCAAAAAAGATGTTTTTCTATAGTATGCAGGAATGAACTGATCACCCCCTCTTTTTGTAGGTATTCTTCTCCTCTACATTAAAGGTCCTAATATATTAATTGTTTTCTGTGTGCCAAAAACGTGATGAAATAAAGATACTGTATGATTCGAAGTCAGTCATGTGTAAACGCGTGATCCCTGTGTCTCTATCTTAATATGAACTGCATGAACAATTTAGTGATCCGCCATTTCAAATTGGAGCTTCAGTTGTGATTGGTTTGAGGTTATGCTATTGATCTCGTGGATTTTGGGTTCTCGTGTTGTTTAATATCTTTGCTAGCTTCGACAGCTTTGTATAGAATATTTACAATTTGTGTACGTTTTCAAATTACAATCGAAATATGAATATGCAATATTGATTCAAAACGATTAATAAAAACAACGCAAATATGAATAACAACTTTCCAGTTCCCCATTTATTTGTATAACCAAGCTTGCTTTTACGAATATCTTGTCGCGCACGATAATACAAATGACATTCACAGCAATCTAACATTGAAACGAGCTACAATATACAATTACTCAATAATCCCAAATTATGTTTTCAATAATATATACATCACTAAGAACCTCATATTCATTTCTATCACATAACAAAACATGACCGTTAAATCAAATATGGATGATTTTAGACGTTCAGAAGTGGCAGTGACAGAAAAACAAAACCAGTCGAAGAAAGTTGTTTTGAAAAGATAAATGATTTGAGAATATCAATTATCGAAACTCATGGTATAAAGCCTGATATTCTCATATTTCACTTTAAAACATTGGAGGCTAGCTCAAAGAGCTACCTTGCACACAGTAAATTAAAAAAGGTATTTCTCTTGTGATTATCAATTTCGTTATTTGTAGTTTTGTCTGTGCACATTTGAACCCATTACTTATACCTTTTTGTCTTGCATTTGTATTTATGTACGTTCCTGTCATATTTATTACATAAGATTTCTTCAATAATTCGTATAAGTTATTATGTATAGAGCTTAGAGACAATTAACCTTGATATCTGTATGAAGGTAAGATATTTATTTACTTACTTTTTTTTCTGTTATGGGCACATTAACCAAAAGATATTCAGGATTACTAAGTAATTTAACAATAAACTTGAGTCTCCTTTTTTTAGGGACACCCTGAACAATGAAGTTAATGCTTTAACAAAATCGCTAGCGCATGCAAACAAATTAATCTAGAATAAAGTACATATTTCTGAGTAAAATATGGTGATATCAATTTCGACTGAGATACTTGAAATTAAGAAGCACATGAAACTATACAGACAGGTTAATCATGGAGCAACAAAGTAAATTTAAGAACTGCATGTGTGAATAAAGTACGTTTTTCTGAGTAAAATATGGTGATATCAATTTCGACTGAGATACTTCAAATTACGAAGCACATGAAACTATACAAATAGTATAATCATGTCATTTATTTGTAATCTTGAACATTCAGATAAGTTTCGTTTGATTCTGTGATAATTAATTTTCTTTTTTTACCAGAACTCAAGTTTATCTTTAAAGTAATGAATAATGATTAAACCTTTTGTTTCTTGAGAGGCCTTTAAGTTTCCTCTGCCTACAAACGTACATAGAGGGAAGTACTTCTTTTGTTCAATCGTTAACCAGGTAATGACGCCGTAAAGTAAATATATATCTACAAACACATATATACAAATACATCAATATGTATTTTTCCAAGAGATTTGCAAAAGCGGTTGTATACGTTATTTCTTTACTTTTACTTATATTTACTCATACGTGTATCTGAAAGCATTCGCTTGGATCGAACTGAGTCACGCGGCTTGTCATTGTTCAAAACCCACCTGCCCCCAACAAAGGAATTAATAAATGAAGGTTGGAGATTGATCAATCCGTCGGTAAATTGAATCTGTGTGTCGCCGTAGCCAGTGGACCGTCTCTGTGGACCAGTGTTTAAGGCATTGGCGTTCTCAGCCTTTGTAAACATGTACGTTCGCAATATATACATATTTATCATGTCATGATTAAAAATGACAAATAATAATTTAGAAGAAAAAAAATTCATACAATCATCATCATAACACTTTTTTCAAAAATAGAAAGACCTCTTCTCTGAGTAACACACCACAAAGTACCATTTAAAAAAATGTGTATAATCATTTAAGCTAGCATATATATAAATGAGGAGATATGATTTCGTCAGTGAAATACAATAAAGATTATAACATATTACACATTGATCGCCTAGTTTCCGAATATGTGGTGACGGAATATTGGTAATTCCAAAATGCTCGGAGAAGGGGGGGGGGGGGTTCGGCCGACGACCAGCCAATCCCTCCCCTGCCTAGTATGCCAATATAAGATCATGCTTGTGGTTTACATGAATAAGCATTTATTTATTTTAATTAATAAGAATGAATGCATCGCTTTAGGCAAAAAACCTCAACTGTGCCAGTGGTTGTTACAAAATCGGTAGTGCCACTGGTATTTATGTCTCTGTTCTAATTTCCTTTGCTGACATCCGTTGAATCCATTGGAGAATTGACGGAAGCATCATTAAGGAGACTGATAGCAGCATCATTGTTGGTGTAAGCAACATCATTGGTGCCCTTAGTAGCTTTCCCGGCCTCAGTTGAATCCAGAGTAACGCTGACCGTGTCATCATTCGTGGTGGAGGAAACATCATCTCCTCTTTCGGTGGAATTTGTGACAGATGCATCAAGAGGGAGACTTACCGTCACAACATCAGTGCTTGCTGCATTACGATCCGTGTCCTTCTTTTGTTCCTCGGTGGAACTTTGGATATCTTTGTTCATAGGTGGTGTGGCCCCTTCCTCAACCTGGCTAGCATCAAAGGTCGGATTGTACATACACATAGGATCGGGATTGTCGTCTTTGGTAGGTAACGAGTAATTACCCGAGGCTCCTGGGCGCAATTTGCTTATCATGCCAGATGACGAGGATAGCGCCGTCGAGCTTACGACACCGCTGGAGGTGCTTGCTTCTCTCTTTAGGAACTTGTCGAAACAAGTTAGCCCCCATTTCTTACGGATGTGAGGCTTCCGGACGCAGTAGAGTAGAAAGATGAAAAATCCTTGAAAGGAGTTAAGGACGACGAAGATTGGCTGAGCCACCTGTTAAACGCAAATGTTTCAGAAATAATAATTAGGTATATGGCATTCTCTCTTATTTTCTTCAGATACTAAACATCTAAAGAGGTATTGCTGGTGTAATTAATTATCGAGTTATATATTTTGTTTATCAAGATATCTTTTAGAAGAGATAGATACAACTCAGGAGTTATTCTTGGAGCTAGTTGGCTTTACCTGACTGAATAACGGGATCAAAAGAAGATATCCGGTGACCCAGGTCAGACCGAGCAGGAGCAAGATGCAGATTGCGTTCTGGACGCGTTCGATAGTCTTTCGACGTTCTACCTTAGCCTCCCTTTTCATCCGACCAGTGATGTTGGCTGACCGGAGCAATTGTCGAACCACCAGGATGAAGATGACAATGTTGATGAGGAGGATGATGGACATGGGAATCAGAAGACCACCGATTTGAGCCCAGAATTGTAAAAAGCATCTATTGATAGAAAATATGCATTTTTGTAAAGTGACTGAATTAAAACAAAAATGCTGACTATATTAGCGATAGTAATACAAAATGTCCATGGTCCTTAAAACATTTTAACCGAAGATTGTTTATTGTACATTATTACCGATGATTTATGTTGGCAAGTCCAAGCTTTGTTGTCCCATCCGTTACCAACAACATCTGAGATGTTAGTATGTGTGGAGACTGTATTCATTTGATAGCCTTTCTAGAGCTTAGATCCCACCACATACCTACGAATGTGATACTTAAGATACAAATTATAGATCATAATTGCATACTTACTAACTCGTGAGAAACCTTAATACCAAATGCCTATAAACTAGACAGAATTACAGAAACGTGATTTTGCTGAATCCGAAATTTAAGATCATTATATATACCCTATGCTATGCAATACAATATTCCAGCTAAAAGTATTACCACTTACAGATCATCATGAGCATAAGAACCTCTAGCGATAGCTCCGGTGAGAACCACGATGAAAGCAGGAATTCCTGAAATGACATACGTGTATAAGGAAATACATCTTTTTAGTCATTCACACCACGCCTACATTGGGCGTGAGCCTAGCTTATTCCTTTTCCCGTTTCTTCGATATTGGCCTATATTCATGTTATTGTTGTGCTGTCCTGCCCAAGCTTTTCCAATGGTTATGGCGACACTATGATTATTTTTTAAATAAATAAAATAACTCGATTATTATACTCTCTGGGGTTTGAAGCCTTCTTTTTACAAATCACATGCTATGCCGAGTACCGTTTAAAGGAATAGTTGAGCTTTGTTGCAGAGGGCGCTACACAAAATATTTTTTTGTGAGATAATAAAAAACGGAGTGAAACATTTGAAAGAACATACAATTCAAATGATACAATCATCTTTGATAAAAATCTGTTCAGAGACGTCTGAAACATCCACTAAATAAAACCATTTCTAATATTTGTGGAGCCCCACAAGTATTTGATAATCTTGAACCAGCCGTTCCTAAAAAGAGACAGCTTATTATACGTTTTATTCCAGCCAATGCCAATGTTGGTTTTTTGATGGCTTTTTCGTGTTGGTTATAAATACGCACAACCAGCTGGCCCGTGTATTGTTATTATTATTATTGTTGTTATTACTAGAAATTAACGGTCACCGTACTTTTTTGAAAATGGAACTGAATTGGTATGATCGAATTTAATCTAAATTTCACACAGTTTGGGGTCTTACATTACCTTCGTATCAATTTTAGGTCATAAAGGGCAGTATAAATGTCATGGATAAGAATAAGAGCAATAACCACGCACATCAAAGGCATTTGCAGGTTTCAAACAAGAGTTCGACTTTCCTTTTAATAATAATAATAATAAAGAAATTACACATAAATTGCCAAAATGACGAATTCATGAGCATTTTTAGTTGATGCCTGTTGGTCCAGGACTAAAGTCTGTCCTAATGTGATATTTCCGTAATTTATGTCCCTTTTTTAGCATGGCTAAATAAATGTAATATCTTGCTAGAGTATTTGGAATCCTTTCGTTTATGTACAAAAAAAAACAAATAAACATTTCCTTTGTTTTATTAAATTTTTAATATAGTATTGTATTCCTTTGATCGCCCATTCAGCATTATTTCTATTGCCGAACTCATAGTTTTATCGATACTTTCAGTAACTACATGTATATCCATGTATAAGTTCAAACAAGCCGGTCGAAGGTTTCTGATCTACAGACATATATCTGTACATACAAAGTTACAAACATACAGACACTTCAGGTTAATAGTAAGCACTATTCCCAAAGAAAGAAAAGATTTAAGGAAACAAATATCGTACCCCATGCAGCTAAGAAAGCCTTGATCATGAAGTTTGGGATGTACGAGTTAAAGATCTTCACAATGATGAGGTAGGTATTGTACCCTTCCACACCCATCCATGCAATGGAGGACAAAACGAAGTAGTGAACCAGGGCCGTCAGGAACCCACAGGGTCCAGCTTGGACCTCACGATAATCTCTGATGGTATCCAGAGAGATCATGATGACAAATGTCGTGTATAGACAGAGCAAGGTCAGGCACAGACAGATGAAGATCTGGTTAGTCTGTTTGGTCCTCAAATCTCTATCAAGATTGTAACAATAAAATTAGGTCAGGAAAGCTGTAGTTACATACATGTATATGCATGTACCGCCTTACCATCACTTCATCAACAACACATAAGCATAGAAAGGTTACACAACAAAAACAACAAAGCAAAAAAAATAAATGGAAAATGTGTATGGAATGAAGGAGACTACGTGATTGTGCTCTACTGACATCCGTTTTTTTAAATGGGCACAAACCCTCAGAATGTCGACGTGTGTTGAAGTCAAACTTTTTGTAACTATTTGAAACGATGTCAAATGAATAAAATATGTACGCCAAAGCTGTTCGAAATGAAATTATTCATATTGATATATTAACAAATAAATATTGTAACTTATGTACGACCCTAGTCACACAACCCTTACATCACCGAGCAAGTAATCATATTATGGCCGTTTCTCTTCTTCTTCTTCTCTTCTTCTTCTTCTTCTTCTCCTTCTCCTTCTCCTTCTTCTTCTCTACCTCCCCCCATCTTCCCCTCCTCTTCCCCTTTCTATCACGAAGTGTAAATCGGTAATATTAGTTCGCACCAGACCTGCTGGTTCAAACAGAAGTGATACCAAACAGAACTGTGCTGCAAGTTTACACGTATCTCACAATTCATTTAATTTTGAAATAATTTGTATACAAAGGGGACATATTTACATTTGCATGATTATTTAATACATTCTAAACAATGCATCACTTTCATAGTATATGTAAACATTCTTTGTTCAAAAGCTTCCAACTAAAATCGACGATAGAATGGCCAGAGAATAATTACATATTTTGTCTCCTTTGCATTACATGAATAATTGCATATTTTTTCAATGAGCTCACTTGTTCCACAGGTAGGTTGCTAATGTGACAAGAAGACTGAAGATAGAAATACAGCATCCAATGTAAGTCAGGATGTTGTATGCCTCGGTAAATGTCTCCTGTCTATGAATATCCTGTAACATGAAAACAATTTGAGCCCAAACTGAAACATCCCCTTCGAATGCTCAAATAAATCTGATTATTTGAAATGAGCTTTCAAAAAGTATTTGTGTCGTTAATTGAAAACTGAGAAATTAGGGGTTTATTTCAATAGAAAGGGATGAGAATTCATATTACTGATGGGAAAAAGAAAAGGATATAAACATTACTAACTTTTACACAATTGTCCATACCTTAAAACTATATTTGATCTCAAGTGTGAGATTATTATTCAAACCCAATTGAAGAACAATCGTATACTTTATTGTTTTTTCTGAAGTAAAAGGGTTACTGTTAGAGGTCCAATGATGACCGCTCGTCCCCAAACACATGGTAGTATTTTTCACCAGTTAGAAAAGGAACTAGAAGCCGTATCCTTTCGCATTACAGCTGGGGTATTACATACTGCCCCGCACTATATATTACAAAGACCATAATATTTAATCCATAGGACCAACTATTACCCCTAGGTCATGAAGAGAATTATCACGCTATAGCTCTACCAACTGTGTGTAGTTAGTCGGGTTATAGTTGTCCGGGGGAAATTGCCCGGGGAGTAGTTGACCGGTGTAACGGATATAATAACTGCCTAATTGCTTTTCACTGACCATTATAACAGCGAAGTTGGTAAGATGATCACACGCACATCGCACGCCCTCCTCATCATAGCGCTCAGCAGATGATGCGAATCCAGAAACAAGAACACACCCATCTTGTGACCATTCTTCCTCCTCCTCATCCCAGAACGAACAAATGGGATTCACGTATCCAGACTATACAACAGCAAAAAAGAAAAAAGAAGCTAAGAATGCATAGACCCAGAATCAAATTTCTTAGATAAAGCATGATAGAAGAGTGATCAATGATTTTGATTGATATAGTTTAAAAACCCATTTATGAGGGGAATCAAACACAGGAGTCAAAAGAGAAAAATATTGCTCAAAATACATATAATGTTTAGATTTTCACCAAAATATGTATTTCTACAAAGGTTAATATTTATAAAATACTGCTAAAGGCAGATTACAATTACGTATAATATATGAACCCAAAACGCTATTCTGATATTGCATTGTTATAGGTCTTACCTTTATTGTAGTAAAGGTAAAATTGATGAATTCGGTCAATGCTGCTACTTTCCCTTGACCAAAATTGAGGGAAATCACGGGCGAGTTAGCCGATCGATTGAAGCCTTCGTTATCTGCACTGATTGTGCGTAATGACTTAGAAATGAACAGGGCAGAAGTCGAAAATACATTGAAGTTGACCCGGATGTATTCACCACTGCCATTCGACGGCGATCCTGAGAGTGGGGCCGTGGGCGAAATGACGGATGCAACTGAAGGTGGAATGTTGACCAGAGCGATGGTGTCTTGCCTGGTAGCACTGACGTCATCGCCGTTATCTTGGATCGGAGCATTGATGGTAATATTGGACTTGGTCAGGTCTGACAGACTGGATCCAGCTAGCGTAAGCACGAGACCACGCATTACGTCGTCAGCAGGTACACTCTGGACCTGTAGAGTAAATTATGTCAATATTTGATTTGTTTTATTTCGATTGCCCATGGTTCTGCCTTACCCTCAATCATTCCCTGTAGATTGTTACGATCTCAAAAACCTGGATTAGGCCTACTTGTTCTTCCAGCTAAATATAAGTAGGGGAATCTTTTTACAAAATATGTCCTCTTTGCATAAGTGCGCCTTGTGCGATATAAAGTAGATTTGGCACACCACAAATCTTGTATTTTTATTATCATCATCATTATTATAATTATTGTTAGTATCATTATCCTTTGTATTATTATCATTATTATCATTATTATTATGAGCTATAAATAGGAAGTGGGGGAGGGAACCTTCGCTATGGAATATTCCCCCTTGACAGATTCGTAGTAGCAGATCAGTTGTTAAAGAATAATCTAAATACGTTTCTATATGAATTGGCATATTACTAATTGTTTCCTATAATTTATATGTGTTCAATCTTCTGAAGCTTTTATAGTGTATAATGCAGATGCTTAAAGTGATTTCTCATTTGCACTAGTCCACTTTGAGTATTTGATATCAAGTGAATTTGGCGCCTTGGAAATCTGATATTATTGTCATTATCAGCATCATAATCATTACTACGATTATTATTAGTAGTGTCATCAGTCTAATCAATTTTATAATCATTAATATCTTTATCATCAATATTATTCATTTGTATTATTATTGACATCACTATTATAATAATAATAATACAGCATTTATTATGCGCCATCGATCTAGTAAACTATTCTGAGGCGCAGAGGGATAGAATTAGAATGAGATACATAGAGAAATGAGAAGGGGGGGGGGATACATAGATGTACATTCAACATATAATTAACTAAAATAACATGCGAACATATATGACTTTAGATTCTTTTTAAATGTTTCTATCATTATTACTAACATTATTGTTATTATCCTTATTATTATTATTGTTATCATCGTTTTATTTATTTGTTATTGTTATTATTATTTTCTTATTTTTTAAAATAATAATTATTGTTATTGATGAACAAGATTGAAAAGGGCGATTAGCACCATGCACAGGCGCATCCAAGTAAGGCATTCCCCAAATTAAAAATGTGATCTCGCACACATAAATGCACAAGTAATGTTTTGGTAGATCTTTTTAAACTATACAGAAAAATGGATGGAGTGTTACGCCTTGTTGGATGAACGAGACCTCAAATGGATGAATGGCAGTGTCGATTTTTTTTTTTTTGAAACTCATTTGAAATAATTACATAACTTATAACATAAACTTGGACATGATTCTATATTTTAGTATTCTGGTTAAAATCAAATAATTTGTTCAAAGCCAATAATATAACGTTGAAATCACCTGTACGGCTACATTTGACTGCTGAATGTTGAGCATCCCACCATCGGCAACCTCAACACGACTGATTTGTTCCTCAAAAGCCTGGACGAATTTACTTATTGCCCCACCTTCTTCCTCTGCGGCTTCAAGTACCTCTGTTTCTACCTGAGCTATATTGCTCGCAATACTCGTTATAGACTCTGTTACCTGTCAAATTAAACACAAAAGATGAACATTATTTAAACTGTAGTTGGAAAAAGTTTCCAAATCTTGGAAATCAAAATGAATGAAGATAACGTATCAAATAACATGACAGCCTAAACATAGCTGTTATTTTGAAGCTGTTACATAACCTCTGGAAGGAGCAAACGCCAAGGGGTCAGAAAGATATGAAACGACAGTGACAGACCTAAATCTGTCATAGAACCAATAAAATATTATTCAAATTTCCAAACGGAGTCAGATACAGGGTAGGCTCCAGTGAATTCTTCATTCACAGTAGTTAAACTTCAAGGATTCCAATATTGTTAAAACGGGTTATGGGATTTACCTCTTTCACATCTATAACAATTTTATACATGTATCGGAGGGAAGACTCCAATTTTTTTCCCATTAAATAATCATCGGAACATTATCAAATTCATCATCCATCGCATCTTCATATTCAATAGGTTTAGTCTGGCATCTTGCAGAATACCTCTTTACTTGTCAGATTTTGCTGCACAATGTTTGATGTTATCTCTACCACAAACGTGATGTCATCTGATGTGATATCTTCGATGTTGGAAGTAACGGATGATACTTGCTGGCTCACTTCACCTGCGTTTTCTTCACTTACGATTACCTAAAATTTGAGGGGAAAATATCTTACAGCATGTAAATATATTTTAAGTGATCGGCTTTCACAGTTGCGAACATGTTTTACTTATAATATTGAATGATACATGTTAGGTCCGTTATCAATAAACCATCTTTATTATTTAAAAAAAACGTGTTTCATAATATCTAAATTCCCAACTCATGAACCGGTAAAGAATTCCAAACAAATTTGGCGGTTATAATCGCCTACTCTTTTAAAAGTATTTTAAACAGACCTACATCTTATAAATGCAATCATTCGGTAATACTTTACTATTGCAACGTATTTTTTGTGGTTTGTAATGCCTTTAAAAGAGTGAAAGAATGAAGTTAAGTAGGCCTGATGCAAGTGCTCTTATTGTAGTATTTTCAATGAATATTGTCAATGAATTTGCTGCCGCCTTGACTAAAAATCGTCCAATACATTTGTGAATGAAATGACATGAAAAGAATCAGTAGAATTGATGGATCGTGGGCCTTTCATTACCTGTTAGGCATGATTTTATAGCAAACAAATGAAAAGTAGGGGTACGCTCAACCACACAAAAAGTTGATTAAGAGGGGAACATGAATGTGAATGGTGTAATATTGTACACAACACAGGGTAAAATTTATCCAATGAGAGTTCATTTTATATTTTCCCATTAAAACAAAATCTTTAAAATGTTTTCAGGTTGTAAAGATCAGTGGTACCTACAATATACTAAACACAATTGCATAACATATGGAGTTTAAAGCCCATTTTCAACGATCAAATTTGAAAAGTAAATCTTATAACCTGTGCAATTTCGGTGAGAATATCTGTGACATTTCTAAATGGTCCGCAATTATCCACAGGTTGCCACTGGCTCTGGGTAATACCATCGCCGATACACAGAGCCCGTCCAATAGGTTCATTGGCTGTTTGGTATTTTAAGAAAATACACGTATATATTAAAAAAAAAACAATGGCAAAAAATTATTACCCCATACGAAGAAACAAGGAGACATAAATAAAATAAGGAAGCAGTGTCTATGATCGAAATTTTCTCAAGTAGTACATGACTCTGGAACTATTCAACACATTCAACAACATGTGAGGAATTAGAATATTAATTTGTGTTGCTTGGCTTGGCCTTGGGGTTCATGTATTCATTTACTATGTGTGCCTCGCTTAAATTCGGTTTTAGTCAAGAAACAGTTTAGGTAATATTCAAAGGGGAGCTCTAAGCCCCCATCTTGATTCGCCAGTGTTCAATAATGAAGTGAAAACAACTACATCAGTTTGACATTATGATAACGAGGCTATTTTGAATATAATGTGGCGAGTAATGTAGCCTTTTTTGCGGCGGTTTAACGCGCCATATCTGAAAAAACCTTTAGGGAAATTATATTATTAGTCGTAATCCTCCGCTTACTTCGAATTGAAATAAATGAAAGACAATGAAAACCAACCTTGAGTAGTGTTGAATGGACACATTCCAGTTGAATTTGCCCATGTTCCGTTTTCACCCACCGGAAATTCGACTTTTTCAAACCGAGGAGAAGTCCATGAGATATTCTGGCAAAGAGCTTCACAAAAACAAACAAAATAAAAAGCATTCAATAAACTTGAACGAAATCCAATGTTTGTTTATCTACAACAAAGGGATTGCTGAGAATTGTACGGATATTATTTTTCGCCGTTTTATGGCTTGGTCGAGACAAGTTGTGCTAGTCGTGTAGTCCCGTCTCGTCTGTACTGCGTTGTGTGGCAAGGAATATGCCATTTTCGTAATGTAATCAAATTGAATACATAAGTCTTTGTGAAGTTCCTCAATACAAATTATTTCATTCACCTGATCAGAATAGTAGTATTTCAATACTCAGAATGCAAACTGCATGTTTTAAGTGTAGCAACAACTAATGTATGCAGATTGGATTCTGTCTATTGGAATACAATTATTCTTATAAAGTGAATAAAATAGTGTGTATCGAGGCACTTGATTAACTTGGGGCGTCATTGAGGACGAAATGGCCAAAACCCGTTCTGGATTTCAGTACCTCAGCGGTCACCCCGCTGCTACTATAGTAGCTTCTCGATTTTGCACACCTACCGCAGATTCTCCGTTGAGCATGCGAAAACCGCTATGGTCACAATTCAGAGCGGCGACCGGCCGATTTGTAGCCTGCTCAGTCGCCGCTGTTATTTCGGCATCGCCCAGCGATTTTTAAAGAAGTCGGGCAGGCTGTAGAGCATCAGCGATGCCTTGGCGGTGCGCTGTCGATTTCCCGTCAGTCGCCTGTCGATTTTTGGTAAAAACTGGGCGAAATCGGGGTGCTTCTACGGGCGGCGTCCCGGCAGTGACCGACGGATGACCCACCGATTCCCGAGCGGTCTCCCACCGATCACCGGCTGATTTTAAAGAAATTGCCCGGAGGCCGGTCGGTGATCGGCGGGGCTCTAAAATACGCCCGGGCGGTCGTAGCCTTTAACCAAGGCCTCATGTCTGATAGACGCCGAGCGACTAAAAAGAGACTAATCGCGAAAACCCGAGTGAACGACAGAGCGAGAAGCCCTTCCATGTGGCCTTTATCAATCCAGGAAAGATATCTTATGTTAACCTTTGTTTCCGACTGAATTCTCTACCGATATGGTAGCGTCCAATCAGCGAACGTATCCTCGCATTACGTCAGCATATAGTATCATCACACACACACACACACACACACACACGGAGTAAAATGTACGTATAGTACAAACGTGGACCTACTATGAACTGAGGTTCGGGCTAAGACCACTGACCACTGAACGAAGCCAACTGGGGGAGGGGTGGCCGTTCTAATTGGTCAATAAATCCAATACCATGAATAATTCATGCGGAGCAGTTATATCTAGATTGCAAAAGGCTCTCGCGGCGCTCGCGCGTTTACCCCGGGTATCTAGACTCATCTCAGCCGCTTAGCCAGAGTCACGAGGCCTTGTCAAAAGGCTAGGCCGGTCGCTGCCTGGGCACCGACCTAATCGAGCGTTCGCCGTCGAGCGATTTAGGTCAAAAATCGAAGACGCTAGTTCAAAGGCTGCCGACAGATTTTGAACTCTCCACCCAGTGACTGACTGATTTCCCAGCGGCGATCGGGCGGCGACCGGGCTGCGACCGCTCTGCAGCCTTTGACCTAGCGGCTTCGATTTTTGACCTAAATCGCTCGACAGCGAACGCCCGATTAGGTCGGTGCACGAGCGGTGACCGCCCGGGCTCAGAGTGTATTTTGGGCGGCGAGTGAAAAGTGAGCAGACGACAATGAATTTTAACTCCGCGCTAAAACTTCAGCGGCGACCGAGAGTTGCCCTTAAAACAAGCAGTGCCGGGGTGGCCGCAGCTCGATGCCCGGGCGAAATTGGCTAAAGTCTCGCCGCCGAGCAGGCTACTTTTGGGGGTTGTGCCCATGCCTTGAGCCATAATGCATGGCCGTCCAGAGGATTTGTTTATGTTGGGGACCGGGTCACGCAAAACACACATTGGCAAATTATTATTCAATAAAATCTGAGAATGTATACCATTATCTAGATCTATTTTTTTCAAATTATTTTCAAAATAATTTCATAAATTGGGGTAAAACAAAAATATTCCAACTATATGAGCGACAGTGTACATACACCCTTACATACGACCATACATACTTTTTACATATCAGTAGGCGTGTCTGTGTATTGTGAAAATAGCTTCCTAAATCCCCATGCGCTTTACCTGTACCCCCGGCCCACCACTCCGAGTTCGGAGGGACCGCATTGGTGTTCCCAAAATCTCCGGTAAAGGGGTACTTTTACGCAAAAAAACCTGCCCGTAATACACAAAAATCCGACTCGTATTGACGTTACACACTGGAGATACGGGGTGCTTTTAAAGAGAGGAAACATGCATACGCGTACCCTAAATAACAGTGGATGGGGGGAGGGGGACGGACCTGTACCGCTTACCTATTTCACAGTTCCGGCTGATGATTGGATCCATGCAAAGACACTGGTAACCGATTTCAGTTTGCTGACAAGTACCTCCATTTAGACAGGGTGTTGAGAGACATGCGTTTTCTGAATGCAGAAAAGGGAGCAAGTTAATGAGTGATAAAGGGATATAATCATTATGGGAATAATTCCAGAGATTTATGTTGTCGTCCATTATATTTGAATTTATTGATGAAAATGCGCCTCAAAGCTAACGTTGAGCATTAAACATTCTGTTTCTTAGTAAATAATACTGTCCAGAATCGAATAGTTACACTCATGCGTTGATTTCGTGGTACATAAGAATAGTTATGAATTGCAAGATGTATAAATAATAAAAATGATAACGACCAAATAAATCTCACTTAAATTTATTCTGAAAAGCACTGCTTAGGGATATTAATATTACCCAAAAAACACTTCATAGGAATGATCTGATAAAAAACACACACAATATCCTTCACATTCATCAGAAGTACTACAATCTCTTTAATCTCGTTCATTATATTTGACTCATACTTTACCTGTACGCATATAACTATACATGACTTACAGTTCAATTTCAAAGTACATGGTAGGCCTGCATTTTTTATGGTTAGTCAGGTTGTAGATATGCCTCTCTTCATTCTCGTCATTACCATTGTACAGTGCGTCCAAGAAAAAACGAAATCGAGAAGTATCGATGTTCTATCATAACTTAATCACAACTATAATTAATGAATGATATCTGAATTTCGAAGAAAAATTCACATTTCTAGAAAGTTGAGTTTCTGCCCTTTCATATGACACCTCAATCAGGAAAAATGAGCGAGGAATGACAAAGTTCTGTTTTTTAAAGTAGTGCTTGCATTTCCATAATTTTATTAAACGAATTCGTTTTCACTGGCTGCCCGCCGTATCAATAAACGAAATTAACAAAATACTTAACTCCGTTTCGTTGACAATCAGCCGTAGACGAGAGTCTTCATGCATGGCTGATTGTCAACGAAACGGAGTTAAGTCTTTTGTCAAATCTGCTTTTTGCTACGGCAGGCACCCAGTGAAAACAAATTCGTTTGTTAAAATTATGAAAATGTAAGGGCTACTTTAAACAAACAGAACTTTGTTATTCCTCGCACATTTTTCCTGATTGAGGTGTCATATGAAAGGGCAGAAACGCAACTTTCTAGAAATGTGAATTTTTCTTCGAAATTCAGATACCGCCCGCCAAATGTCTTTTTGGTTTTCTTCCTTCAAATTGCTTTTAATCACTCATGCGTGAAATATGCATCATCTGAGTAGCATCAACTGAAAGAGGAGACTCTAAGCTTTCCAAATATGTATCATTCATTAATTATGGTTGTGATTAAGTTATGATAAAACATCGATACTTCTCGGTTTCGTTTTTTCTGGGACGCACTGTATAATGACCGGTCATTACCAATTAACGCGTTAGGCAAAATTAATGCCGGGTCACGTGTACGCTCTCAACCAATCATTTGATTAGGATCCACGTCATCATCTTATAACACATACCAACCCGTGTTAATGAACGTTAATCAAACACAAACAACGGTCATATATTCATTACCTAGGTATCAAGGCATTGCAATATGTGAACACGGGATAATTCTCTCTAAAAAACAAGTTACTTTTATTAGGCATTAATGTCCTCACTAACGTAAGCTCTCCGACCCCGTTTCTTCTACTTTCGTCATGAATTACTCTAATCTACTCCTATTCAACCAGACAAAGGCATTCTTATCAACTTCTACGTAATGGCACAGTTTTTGCCTATAATATAGTTAGTTTGGAAGGAACTTACAACATGCTTAATTAATACAGACTCTCTTTATCCTATTTCAAGTGTACCAATCACAAACAGTGATTGCAAGTTTAAACGCGCTCTCAGTTAACATCGAAAAGTCCTGCATGGAACCCAAGTCCGACTTAGGGTTCTACGTTATCTCTTTTTCTTTATACATACTGTTCGTTAGCCGATGGGATTCCAGACAAAGATAATGCATCTCACATGGCCCATGGTATCTATACACCGATTCGGTTTGGGGGTTTTATGTACCTGCCCGCCGGTGGCGGCGCTATAACTGGGGGGCTTCTCCGATCCAGCTGACAGTACAGAGAGCTCGAGAGCGGTTACTAGCTAGCGGAGCAGCGACCCTGGCCGGCCTGGGCGAGGTTCGGTATAGGTATAGCATACCCGTTGCAATGTAAGCTAGCTAGCTGCAGTCAGACGCCCCCCAGTTATGGCGTCACCTTATGAGGGCGCACTTCCACCAGAAGTCGCCCGAATCGGTGTATACACGCGTCCTCATTAAATTGATACGTATGCACTGACTTCTTTCCTTTTTCTTGCTTTCGTGTTTTCATGAAATTGTCTTCATTGAGAAAAAAGTGCATTCTCCTTTCTCTATCGGCATGATATTTCATGAAGTGATATAATATAAATAGAAATGTAAACTAAAGTGTAATTCGGCCAGGCTAAACTCACCAGAAACAAGAATTGCAGTGACAATGATATCGACATGACCAACATTTGAGTATTTTCCACCTGCCATGACCAGCCACATGTGACTCGTTCTCACGAAAACGTCGTCAACATAATTTGTGTCATCCTCTATGGCCTTTACTACAGACCTGTCATCGAATGGGTCAGTCCCAGTCCCGATCTGAACACGCATTCCACAACAGTTAAGAAAGACATGTTGGAACTTGATTTGGAATCCATAGGATGAGTTGGTTTGTAAAACGAAGACGTGATATTCCCGTTCATATAAATCCAAATTTGAGATGGCATAAGATTCATCTTCTCTGATGTTGGTTGGTGAACGATCTGTGAAAGCAAATCAAATAATGTCAGATTCAAAACATTCATTCCCCTAAATTTAATGAAAGTATTCATTCTCCTTCCTCCAAAATCCCATATGTATATCCACATGCACAAACATTTGTTTTTTTTTTCTCAAATTATTGTCTTCCCTCTCCTCACTTGTCTACTTCTTCTTCTTCCTCTTCGTCTTCTACTTCTTCCCCTCATTCTCTTTTGCTCTATTTGATTTTGTATGGTATGGTACTCCATAAATATATTTCATTGAATGAAACATATAAACAAATATGACATTCAATGTCGTAATACGAAACATTCATATGAGCAGAGAACTTTCCTAGAAATTTATAATCATTAATTATTATAATTATAATTTATAAATTTCGTTCCACATTTTGAGGGAAAGGAAAATAGGCGATATTCCTTAGTCATGACAGTTGCATTTTTAGGATCAAATATACAAACAAAATACGATTAGGCAATCCAGGGGGCATAATTTCATTATTTGCCCCAGGCGCATGATCCCTAGATTCGCCACTGACTGCGTCTAATTCTAATGGGGTTTGATATCTTGTGCACACCATTTGTCTTCATCGAAGCTATTGCTAATTACTTTATTTATATACTTGTTTGTTGTTTTTTCTTATAAATTTCTGTCATGAGAATGTTGTAGTCACTTACCACATGGTTTCTCATCTTCATAACTGTCGCATTCGTACCGTCCATTACACACGTAATTTTGGGATATACTCGTGCCTGAATCATGGCAAGGAAACCAGCCTAATGTAAGATATTAACAAAAACAGATTCCTACGTTTTGTAACCCAAATGTTAATGAACATTAACGAATTTAGTCCAAAAAAAAAATATGTCCGACCTTGATGTAATTCAAGTAGTGCTCTCAGAAAGATATTATTACCCGTACGTGGTTAGAAATGAAATACTATCTCAAATATAACAAAAATAAGTAGTGATGGTCTTAAAAAGCTAAAAATCATATATATACATTAAACTACTACACACAGAGAAAAAGAGGTTTAAATTTACTCCCTATCGGTTTTCATGAAAAATGGGTTTAAATTTACACCTGTGGGGTTAAAAGCTATACTCTATATGATCGATTCCACACCCTATAGGGAGTAAGTGCTTGTCGCATAAGTGACTCCCCTCAGAGAGCAAATTTACTCCCCAATGTAGGGAGTAAATTTACACCCCACAAGGTTATGATTTTAATCCTTTTAAGGAGTGAAATTTGCACCCAATGTTGCTTAATTAACAACTTTTGGTTCCATTTTCATGAAAAATGGGTTCAAATTTACATCTGTGGGGTTAAATGTTATACTCTATATGATCGATTCCACACCCTGTGGGGAGTAAATCTACACCCTCTTATACACAGCATAAACCAATTGATAATCCTTCGAGCAATCAATCATCCATGCTTCGTAATCACCTAACAGTAACTGATTCTCACCCTTTTGTCTACGTTTCACTGCTCTAAAGAAATCAGACCACAATCTCGAGTTATATGTCGAAAAAGCTTTAATGCTAACCCAAACAACAGTAAGTGTGCACTCAATACAAGTGCACACTGTAAGAACCAACTTAAAGATGGAAGTATGGGATATGAATGTAGTGGAAATACCTAAATACACAATCCTGCCTTGCCGAACGTCTTTTATTTACTTACACGTATAAGAAGGCATTTATGTACTAGTTAGTAAAACAACACTTCTGCTAATTTCATTAAATTATCAAATATAACCTTCGGTACAACCCCGTATTCTTCATCAGATAACATTCACACAAATAATATGCCCAAATGAAACATGATAATTTCCCCAACATGACTAAAATATGTAAATTATGCTAATTTTCCTTCATTTGGCAGTACCTATATCGACACGATGCGCCATTGCTGTAGCGCATATGCACTGACCAATCAGAGCTCGTCTGACTAAAACAGGGTGTAAAATTACACCCCACAAATGACTATTCTGTACACCCTTGCGTATTTCCGTGTTTTACTCCCTAAAAGGTGTAAATGGGGGCGCCCTATTTTCCCAATTTTGTTTTAATCCCCAAGAACACCTTTATTTCTCTGTGTGTAGTAATATGTGTAATGATGGCACATCATCACCAAGAATCTATTGGCCTTTTATATCATTCCTGGATTGTAAACAAATTAACAGAATCTCATCATTATTACAGAGAAAACATGGGATATGTTCCAAAACTTTTGCATTCTATATTTTCTTTTGAAATTATTCTTCATGTTCACGATTTGAAAGACTTTCAAGAAGTCAACTCGCGAGTAATCCTTGTATTTCTCATAGAAATTGTATGAGGATTACGTTCGCACTTTTTGAAAAGAAATGTACAAAGCTATCAAACATTCCTCTGGTTTATTTGTTTTAAGTCATTGTGAATTTCGGTTAACCCAGACGTTTTTGCCGAAAAGTGTCATTTTAAATTTGATCCTTTATCTATACTCACCTGACATATTAACGGCAGTTATATCAAAATACAAGTCTAGGTAGTAATGGTAGTAATGGTAGGAGTCGAGAAGTATAACAGCAACCCATATCTCCTGACTGTCCACATAAGACTCCGTATTGATTTGACAGTACTCCAATGTACTATATGTTTTGATTACTGACTGCTGGATAGTCGAATCATGTCCTTTCCCCAAAAGAACGCTGAATCCGTTAGAGTTATCGAAGTAGCAATCGAAATCAAAAAATCGTAAATCAACTCGAAACCCATTGATAGAGTTCGTTTCAAAGAGCCAGACTCTGTAATTTTGTTGAACCTCAAACCACGAGAATGGAAACCTTTCTTCGTCTTGAAGAAATATTGCAGATTGATCTGAAAATGTTGTTTCATAAAAAATATAAAAAATCGTCAAATGATTTACTGCTGAAATAATCTCATTGGTAATATCAGGCCTACCTATACACTTAGCAAATCAGCAAATAGTGTATGTGTGTGTGTGTTTGTGTTTGTTCGTGTGTGTGTGTATTCGCGCGCGCGTGGGGTGCGTGTGTTTTGTATTTCTGTCTTTACTTTCTTTCCTTTCCCTTTTTTTTGTATAGATGTTCGCATTGTGATTGGTTCATAATGTCGTGAGGAAATGATTTGTACGGATAACAGATAAATCATATTTATAAAGGCCTCAGTATTTATTTTGTTCATGCGTAATGTAAACGCTACATTGTGTCCTTGTATAAATGGAGCTTAAATAGTGAGGCAGTAAATTTACAATGCAAATTGTAAAAGAAAAGAAGACAAAAAACAAGGTAAAGAATAAACTTACTGCATGAAGATTCGTCTTCATAATTGCTGCAGTCATAAATCCCGTCACATATCCTACTTTGCTGAATCCCGATATTGGTGTTGGTTGAGCAGAAATACAATTCTCGTGATACTAACAAAAGAAAATATGATTTAGGAAGTTGAAATTTGTATCAATGTCAAAATGTTTCTGTTTTATTCAGCTTAAAATATAACATTGGTATAAATAGCACATTACAGACGATCGCTAAAACTTAAACAAAAATCACCCTAAGGCAATTCAATAGCCTTGTTTATCACCTATCGAACTGTGTGAACATTACAAAGACGTATTACGTTACTCCCAACATGTTTCATATAGGATAAATAGTATTGTTTTAAGATTGCCCTTAATATGAGTTTATTACTCGAATGTCTTTACGATCGTGTTATTCTTGATCATTTTCAGTTCACATTAGGCGGTGTCACACAGAGGCCAAAAATCCGGATTTTAGTTATCCTCTTAATTGCTGTCTGTTATCGTTTTCACGAAGTGACGGTAGTGAAGAAAATCGTAACGCAAAGTGAATGCAATTTTTGTTCACTACCGTCACTTCGTGAAAACAGCGACGAATTATCCCATTAAAAATCGAAGCAAGATAATTCTCCATTGAAAGGATTTTTCAAGGGATTTTTTAAGGGATTTGTCTGTGTGACACCGCCTATATTCAGTTAACAATCCAAGCCTTGTTGATGTAGCTGATCCACGTGTATATCTGAATATTACATGTACTTGAATATTATCTTGTTGCCCATAAAGTTGGAATAATCTTTTCCTACTCCTTTTGCATGCATTTATTTTTTCTTGATAGATAAAGTTGATCGGTTTGGAAAGTTATAGAGATTGATCAATAAATTGCTGAAAAGATATCAAATTTACTTATTATTATTTTTTTTTAATATGAGGCGGTGTCACACAAGGCGGTGTCACACAGAGGCCAAAAATCCGGATTTTAGTTATCCGGATTTTAGTTATCCTCTTTATTGGCTGTCTGTCACCAATTATCCCTTCAAAAATCCTTTCAAAAATGTCCTCACACGAAGCAAAATAATTCTCTCTTGAAAGGATTTTTCATGGGATTTTTTTGTCTGACACCAATGTTGAAATAATCCCTTTAAAGGTCAGTGTAAGTTTAACGTGATTGGCTGGCATAGGGTTTTTAACGCGCTATCATAACCTGCGCACAATTATATTAGCGCGCATTTAATGATTGAACGTGTGATGTCACAATGCTCATCTACCTAAACGGCACATGCGCAATGGCCCATCAAAAATCCAGATTTTAGTTAGCCGGATTATTCGTAGCCTGTCTGTCACCAGTCTGTCACCAACGTAAATTAAAAAACTAGATTTCTTAAATCAGGTTTATTCAAGATGGGTCGGGATTTTTCTGTGTGACACCGCCTACAGAGGCCAAAAATCCGGATTTTAATCGTCCGGATTTTAGTTATCCTCTTAATTGGCTGTCTGTCATCAATTATTCCTTAAAAAACTCCCTTCAAAAATCCTCTAACTAAGCAAGATAATTCTCCTTTGAAAGGATTTTCAAGGGATTTTTTAAGGGATTTTTCTGTCTGACACCAATGTTGAAATAATCCCCTTTAAGGTCAGTGTAAGGTCAATGTTTGACTTATTAGGCGGTATCGTTAGAGGATTTTTGAAGGGGCTTTTGAAGGAATATTTGATGACAGACAGCCAATTAAGAGGATATCTAAAATCCGGATTTTGGGCCTCTGTGTGACACCGCGTATAATGCACTGTTGTGCGTGTGTTAGGGCAGGTCGAGTGCACGAAGTTTAGTCAGTACGATATTGATAATGCACTTGGCCTGCGGGCGCGTGCATTATCGATATTATCATTATTTGTTTTATAAGACGGGTCGAAAACACATTCTTAAAATATAGTCTACATCTGGAGTATAGATAGATTTTAGATCAAGATCTAAGTTAGATCTAACTAGATGTAGCTAGGCTTAGAACAATTATGCACAAATTAAATTTAGCTGGATTACGCGAAAGCGATATCGGCAGATATCGAGCATGGTTTATCAATTTTCGATGGGAGATTGTTTGCAAGGTGGGAAAAATTAAATGCACGCCCACGTGATGTCAATTGACCAATCGGATTGCTTAGATTCAGTCTTACGATCAAACATTCTTTGGGTGGTATTCTCGAAAATGGACTAAATATACTTCATGGTTTAATCCTCCGACTAAGTATGGAATACCAAGTGTCTATATGACTATTTTTGCACTAATTTGATAAGTCACTGATTACCATAACTACATAATTATTTCGAGGTTATATTTATGTAATTAAAGGGAAATCCAACCGAAATAGACAACTACTCTAAACGAAGCAGAAAAATCAGAGAGCAAACTGATGAAAGTTTTGTATAAATCTGACTAAAATATAAGAAAGGTATACATTTTTGAAAGTTGTCATCACTATCCGTATGGGCACTTCAAATTAGCTGAAGCGGTAATGTCAATGTGATGTAGTGCCGGACTACTATCCCATCTGTTCCAATATATAAAATAACTCATATCTAAATTTTTCAAACATTCATGGCTCAGGAGGACTTGTTCTTTTTAGAGGACCTATGCTAATAATATAATAATCTATAATATTTTTTGAGTAGTGCCCTAAGGGAGAAGTAACTGAGTGATATTTTTGTACACGGCAAATGGGAGAGTTATCCACGTCCTATGTCACAATCCACTAACCAAACTACCAATACGAGATTCGCATAGACTCAGTGATCTCTTAATTATTTCAAATATTCATAACTTCCTTACTATTGGTCCGATTCATTTCAAACTGTTGCCATTCTGTTTCTGTTATTTTGTCTGTTTTCATACAAATCAAATTATTGAAGGGTTTGATTGCCCTTTAACTATGTTATTACAAAATATTTTTTTGATATAAAAAATTATTTTTAATTTAGTGACCGATTAAATTATTCAAAAACATATTCATATCGACACTTGGCATTCCATACATAGTCGGAGGATTAAACCATGGACTAAATTTAGTCCGCTTTCGAGAATACCACCCTTTATGTTTAGAAAAATACTTAATCGATCTCATTGAAAGAGACCTGGTAGAGGTGTCGTGGACGAGTGGATATGTCACCGGACTGTGGATCATAAGGTTCGCGGTTCAAGTCCCACCGCGGCACTAATGTCCTTTGGCAAGACATTGATCTACATTTGCCACTCTCCACCCAGGTGTTAAATGGGTACCCGGTAGGATGCGAAAGCTAATGTGGTTAGATTAGCAAGTGTGCGCTCGTAAAAAAGACGCCTGGCTGGAATGCTCCCCAGGGAGTGGAGAATGTGCATACATTGTGTGCGGGTAAGCCTGAATCCTATGACCGGGGTAATAATATATATATCTGTAAAGCGCTTTGAGAGGGCCTTCGGTCTTGAAAAGCGCTATATAAGAACTAGCTATTATTATTATTATTATCTGACAATTATAAGTCGTTGTCGCTGTGGCAATCATCACCCGACGATTGTATCTGGTAGATATTCAAATACTCCCATGAAAATGAGGTCGTGTACTCTCTGCAATTTGCAATCATTTGGGGACGAGTTTCATTACTGGTTTGCATGCCCTGCTTTTCGTTCAGACAGAACAATTTTCCTCGATAAATAATTTTTTTGAAAGACCGAATGCACTAAAAATGAATCAGTTTCTATCTCAAATAATGCACAAACACATTTAAACTTAGTAAGATTCTGCAAAAACACATGTTTCGTTTCCATTTATTTAAGTAGGTGTACATAATATGTTATGAGTTCAATATTATCTTCGTGGTTCTCTTTTTTGTCTTATACCAAATAATTAATGATATTTGATATCAAGAATATTTTCAGTAATTAATCAATTCAAATAATATTTACTGGTCCTAGTAAATTTCTTTTTTAATTGCTTCTATTAATTTTATAATTAATTATTATTATAAATATTATCATCAGTATTTATCATTATTATTATCATTGCTAATAACATTATTATTGTTATTAGTATAAGTTTATTGTTATTATTATAAATGTTATCACATCGTCGTTAGTGACATATATTTTTATATTGATTAACATTAATTCGATTTGAATTGCATACTGTACAATGTTAAATTTACGAATTCAAACTGATTGTAAACTTCTCCAATACCTCAATGTGGGTGACATGAGAATAAATTGTCGTTGTCAGGCGTATCAAACATGGGGTTCATTTGTCAGCGATAACGACACGAAAAACTAGAAATGATTTTTTGTTTGTTTTTTTGTTTTGGTATTTGATTGATTGGATTGATTTATTTATTTCTGTTTGAATTTTCTTTTTCTTTTGCATTTTTACAAATATATAACAAACAAAGCATTGCAAATTGTACACATTTCAAATGAATATAATGTCGAATAAAGTAACTAATCGAAAACATCAAACAGGAGGGTTGACAAAGTAAGTAAGCTTGATAGTATGATTACCCTCAATGGATACATAATAATACGAATACGGTGGAACAAATATTGGTAAAAGGGGGAAGAGAGAGAGAGAGAGAGAAGAAAAAAGAAAGAGGAAGTGTACATCAAGATTCACAGATGTATGTGGTACAATGCAATTGGATTTCAAATTGATATATGAAGATAAAATAAGAAGATGCGCATTTGAATATTGGGTGGCCAACTTGGGATAGGCTTATATTATAGGATGAGAAGACTCACGAGGTTTCTGGACAATATGAATATAAATGTGAGATCAGCGAGCTAGATTATAAGACTGTAAACCTTTGTTTGTATACAAAACAGGTTTTGGGAGTACCCCAAGTGGGCCACTCTTTATGAATAAGTTTATTCATACCAGGTCATGGAAGGTTATAATCAACGTTTCAATGAATGGAAGCAAAAAGTAAGAGTACAGAAAATTATCGAGTTTTGTAACGACGGGTTTACGAGGGGAACTTATAAATAATAATAATAATAATAGCTAGTTCTTATATAGCGCTTTTCAAGACCGAAGGCCCTCTCAAAGCGCTTTACAGATAAAGATTGAAAGTAAGCAAATTTTGATGGTGGATTTGAAGATAATGCGCAATAAGAAACGTTTTCACCGCTCTTTTAAAAGATAGCATTGAATTAATCGATTTTATTTCAGGGGGTAGTGCATTCCAGGTATCGGGGCCAGAATGTCTAATTGAGTTTTGAGCTGAGGCTGTTTTGGCGTTAAATAGGTGATAGTCATTGGAATGCCTGATGGGTAGGAATGAATATTAGCATTATGTTGGAATAATACGACTAGTGATGGGGGAGAATGCCGGATTTAAGTCGGAACCGTGAACATAGATTTTTGCATGTAGTGTATATCACTTATTTTTAGAGTTTTTAACGTGGCAAATAAAGGGTCAGTGTGGTCGCAATAACCTGCATCGGTACAAACTCGAATTGCTTTTTTCTGTAACATTACTATACGATTAGTATTGCACTTATGAGTAGCCCATATGATATTGCAGTAAGAAATATATGGTAAAACCAGTGTATTATATAGCATACTAAAGCACATGTGTTGGCAACACATATTTAGCTTAAATACACTGTCGCTCATAAAGGTGGAATATTTTTTTTTATTCCAATTTATGGAATTATTTTAAAAATAATGTAAAAATAATAGATCTTGATAATAGTATACATTCTCAAATTTTATTGAATAATAATTTGCCAAATATGTGTTTTGCGTGACTGCTAAAGCATGTGTATGCTACTATGCTTATCAATTAGGGGACCTGTGCCCTTAAGTCATAAATGACAGTAATGAGGATTAATGCCCCACAAAAGGGCACTAATATAGCACATCGACACGGTTTTGATCCTGGGGCCTCACAGTTACGAGGCCATTGCTTTGTCACTGAACCATGACTGTAAGCAGCGGGGGCTAGGGTAGGGGGCAGTTTCCATAAATTTAAAACAAAAACAGAAAATACAATAAATTTTCAATAATTTATTGCATTTAACCCCGGTGCTTAACATTAAAAAAAATTATGTGTGCCTATGCCTTGAGCCATAATGCATGGCCGTCCAGAAAAATTTGTTATGTTGGGGACCGGGGTAAAATGCAATAAATTATTGAAAATTTATTGCATTTTCTGTTTTTTTTTTAAATTTATGGAAACTGCCCCCTACCCTAGCCCCCGCTGCGTACAGTCATGGTTCAGTGACAAAACAATGGCCTCGTAACTGTGAGGCCCCAGGATCAAAACCGTGTCGATGTGCTATATAAGTGCCCTTTTGTGGGGCATTAATCCTCATTACTGTCATTTATGACTTGAGAGCGTAGGTCCCCTAGTTGATAAGCATAGTAGCATACACATGCTTTAGCAGTTCCGCAAAAAACACATTGGCAAGTTATTATTCAATAAAATCTGAGAATGTATACTATTATCTATATCTATTATTTTTAAATAATTTTAAAAATAATTCCATAAATTGGGGTAAAACAAAAATATTCCACCTTTATGAGCGACAGTGTAGTATACGAATATTGCGATAAATAGGGGTAGAGATATAGTTCACATGATCATTCCAGTTACATTTTTCATTTATATATACACTTAAGAATTTAGTTTATGACTTACATTACATAAACAAGGATAGGGAGTTTCATTGTATAAAACAACATATTTATGATTGTATTCGTTCATTACGGGATCTATCAACTCTTGCTGAGCCTGTTTAATGCGCCCATTGTACTTTGCCTGACAGCTTCATACGATATATGCATACAGCCTCAACTCAATTGCGGTTAGTTCGTATAATGAACTCAAGTGCATGCGTGATCTATATAGTGTTTCTAAATTGTGATGATGAAATGGAAACTTAGATACCTGGTAAAGTTACGGAAGTGACGTTAATCTCCACATAGCCAAAGCTGGATTCATCTCCACCTATGACAGCAAGCCACATTTCATTTGTTGTGACGTAAACATCGTCGTAATTATAGTCATAGTAGCTCAAGAAGATTTGATAGATGTCCCTTTTGTCGCTGCCCGTGCCAACGACAATGTGTGCTCCACAGCAACCCACATTAAGGTAAGAGAAATGCACTCGAAATCCCAATGTAGAGTTTGTACGAAGCATAGTTCTATTGTAAGATCTGCGTGTAATAGCCGGAATGCTTATGTGAAAAGATTCCCCTTCATGTAGAAATATGTCTGGATGACCTTGGAAAAAACGAGAACGGAGCAGTTACTTCGTCTGTTGTTGAATATATTATTCAATCGTACTGCATCGTTAATATTAATGATGCTAGTGGAGTTTAAGATTTTCACATGGTCAGACGGAAAGCTTATCTCATGACAGTTTCGTCTATTCCTTAGATAGATGGATAGTCGAATTTATTTCATTCATCATAAAAAAAGACATTTTGATAAAGTAACATACAATATCACATTCATATAAAATCAAAATAAGAAACATTACAAAGATTGTGGAGTACAGGATGACGTTTTGGCTTGAAGCCGATGCTTGTGATGTCACAGGCGTCGCTTTGTAGAAAGTGTATGGATTAGGTCGCTTGAGGGCGTACTGGATTTTGTGTGTTACTGATTTTCCACGTCATGGGATAGTTGCCTCCCAGAGTTGCCTAAGTTTTCGTTTAATTTTGTGATACAAGCCCAATGATGTAAGTAGAAATGAATATGTTATCTTGAAGTTTATGAGTTATATTGTCTTTACAGCTAGATAGCTTAATGAAATATGATGTTTATGACACTAATTTGAGATGATGAAATATGACATGAATGAGTCGTTCAAGTGAAAGATTGTACACGTGTATGTAAGTTACGTAATTGTCGTGCACGGAGAGTGCGTCTAAATGTACATGTACGTAGTAGTATAATTATGACCTTGAAGAATGACAAAGTCACCGTCGGTGCGTCATTAATTGTTGCATGTATTTACCGTAGTCAGATATATAGTGAAGAAAGCATTGTTTGTTTTCCTTTGTTATGATAACAGATAGTTATTAGGATTTGATACATGATATGTTATTTTCATGTCTGTTTATGCAAGTTGACTTATTATTGTTTATCCTTTTATTAAATCGCAGATTGAACCTTGCCTGCTACAGTGTGTATATAACCAAATTACAGCGGTTCGGTGTCTTTACTATGGGTCCAGGGCATCTGGGTTGGTTCGCCAAATCGTACACCACAATAACAGTTCAATATCAACTTGTGTGACTGTCATATCCTCCATCATGAGCGTAACCGGCATGGATATGAGCACAGATCCAGAGGTTACCTTCAAGGACCACAAGTCGGACAGTATTAGACCTGAAGACTCAGCTAGCCAAAGGGGGAGTAGCACCACCTCGGCGAGTTGGAGGATACGGGCGAAGGCTAAGAGAGCTGCCTTAGCCGCAGAAGTAGCAGCTCTTAAAGACCAACAAGAACTTGAGATAGAAGAAATGAAGCTTAAACAACGGAAAGCTGAGCTTCTTCTGAAGACTAGATTAAAGATCGCTGAAGCAGAGGAAACTGTATATAGAGGTACTCTGTCCATAGAACAGAAGACTGAGCCTTCCAAGTCTGAACCTTCCCAGCAAGGTTCATCAACTCCTGCTAGAATGAAGCCAGCAAGTGAAAACCAGATACTGACCAGTCAAGATGAAAAGATAACTGGTAAGATGGACTCTGACATCTTACATCATCTACAGCAAGGACAGAGACAACATCAACAGCTGTTGGAAGCCATCACAATTTCAAGTACCAACATTATGTCTTTTGATGGTAACCCGTTGAATTTCTTTGAGTTCATACGATCATTTGATAGTGTCATTGGAAATTCGTCATTGGACAATAACGCCAAGCTGCTCAAGTTGTATCATCTTTGTACTGGAGCTGCCAAAGACATAATCCAATGTTGTCTCATGATGCATCAAGATGATGGGTACTTTCATGCCAGAACGCTTCTGATGGATCGCTTTGGAAGTGACCATAAGATCAGTGACGCCTGGATTAGGAAGGTCACGGAAGGTCCAGTTATTCAGAGCAATCCTAAACATCTGAGGGATTTTGCTGATCAGCTAAAGACCTGTGCTGAAACTTTGATGGCCCTTGGAATGCTTCACGAGATGAGCAGCAGAAGTGAGCTGGTGAAGGTCATTGAACGTTTGCCATTCCATCTGAAGAGCCGGTGGTTGCGTTTCGTAAAGACCATCAGGGATAGTGGCAGACAGCCTAACATCCAGCATGCAGTTGAATTCATCACCGGCGCAGCTGATGAACTCAATGATCCTGTATTTGGAGCCTTACTTATGGGTGGACCAAAGAATCTAGGAAGTACAAGGAGTGTAAAGGAAAGAACCGTGTCAGGTAGAGGTCAGGCAAGCATGTTTACTACCTCTGTGAATTCATCGACCAAGAACTGCATCATGTGTCAGGACAGCCATGACCTTTTCGGTTGCCAGGAATTTAAAGCCATGGAGCCTGATGAACGCTTTGATTTTGCCTTCAAGAACAGGCTTTGTTTCAATTGCTTGTTACCTGGTCATGTATCCTCAAAGTGCATCCTTAATAGGACCTGCTCAGTCAAGGGGTGCAATCAAAGGCATACCAAGTTCCTCCATACCGGGAGAAATCCTACACCTTGGAGAACAAGAAGGGAATCGAATGACTCATCAACTCAAACTGACTATGATGTAGCATCTCATGCTAGTTCCAATGCCACGAGGGCCGGAGGTTGCAGAGTAGCCCTTCCAATAATTCCGGTTACTGTCAGTGCTGCAGATGGTGGAGAAAGCATTGAGACCTTAGCTTTGCTGGACCCTGGTTCTACGAACTCATTCTGTCTGCAAGAATTAATAGATGAGCTCCAGACAAAGGGGAAAAAGAAAGTCATTCAGGTCTCAACACTGGAAAGCCCTAAAAGAGCAATGGAATGCGAAGCCGTCAAGTTGAGGGTTAAAGGTTCCACAGCAGACAAGATGATAGAGGCTGAATTTCTAACTCGTCCCAGCCTGAACATCAGTACTGCAAACATGGCCAGGGAGGAAGATATTTCGAAATATCAACATCTTTGTGGTATTGATCTTCCAGTCACGGGGAAGAATCAAGTAACCATACTGATTGGACAAGATGTGCCTGAAGCCCTGATGCCACTTGAAATCAAAGCAGGTAAACCTGGTGAAGTTTATGCTGTCAAGACAATACTTGGATGGACGTTAAATGGTCCACTTGGAAATGGAAGTAGTTTACAGAGTTTTCAAGCCTCGTCTAGCTTCATCTCTGATGATGGTAACATGCTCCTGGAAGAACAAGTTCACAAATTTTGGAAGCTAGAAGGGACAGAATACCTTCATGATAATGAAAGGAGCATGTCCATCAATGATCAGAAAGCCTTGAAGACCTGGCAGGAAGGAGTTTGCAGAGATGGTGATCACTATCAACTTCCCATTCCATTTCGGAAGAGGCCTGAAGATCTGCCGAATAACATCCAAGTTGCACTAACCAGACTAGAGTCACTGAAGAGAAGACTGGTAAAGGATGATTGTCTACATGCTAAGTACAGTGAAGGAATGAGGTCTTTGTTGGATGAAGGGTATGCTGAAGAGGTTAAGGACCAGGATCTTGGGAAGGATGAAGGAGTCTGGTACTTACCGCATCACCCGGTATTCAATCCAAATAAACCAGAAAAGACAAGAATTGTCTTCGATTGTGCTTCCAAGTACAATGGAACTTCTTTGAACGATGCGGTACTTCAAGGTCCAGACTTGACGAACAACCTTCTTGGTGTTTTGCTCAGATTTCGCCAAGAACCTATAGCCATTATGGGAGACATAAGGGCAATGTTTCACCAAGTTAGAGTCCCACCAGAGCAGAGAGACTTTCTTCGCTTCCTGTGGTGGCCAGAAGGAGATCTTATCCAACATCCTAAGGCTTACAGGATGTGTGTTCACCTATTCGGTGGGACATGGAGCCCAAGTGTTTGTAGTTGTGCTCTTAGACATACAGCTGAAGAATTCAAGACCGAATATTCTCCAGAGGCAGTGGATGCTGTCGGTCGTAACTTCTATGTAGATGACTGTCTCGTCTCATGCAAAACAGAAGATGATGCAATCAAGCTTGTAGCTGAACTCATGACGCTGCTCAAGAGGGGTGGATTCGAAGTGACCAAGTGGATAAGCAACAGCCCAGCTGTGATCAAGTCTGTACCTTTGGAAGATCGAGCTAAAAACATTGTGGGACTTGATTTGAATCGGGATGCCTTACCAGCAGAAAGGGCACTTGGAGTAACATGGGATGTAGAACTGGACTGCATCACCTATAAGATCACCCCCAAGGGCAAACCAGTAACGAGGAGGGGAATTCTGAGTGAGATAGCATCAATATATGACCCCTATGGATATGCCAGTCCATTCGTCTTGGTTGCCAAGAGAATCCTCCAGGATCTAACTGCTCTGAAGCTTGGATTTGATGACCCAGTTCCAGATGAACACCATTCCAGATGGCTAAAATGGAAAGAATGGCTTCCCTTAATGAGCAACTTCAGAGTGAGCAGGTGTTTCAGACCCTTTGATGATGTGAACGAGTACCAACTGCATCATTTCTGTGATGCATCTGAGTCGGCGTACGGTGTAGTGTCTTACCTGCGCATGACCAGTGAAGGAGGACAAGTCCATTGCAACATAATTCTGGCTAAAGCAAAATTAGCACCTCTGAAGAAGATGACAATACCTCGCTTAGAGCTCATGGCGGCAGCACTTGCAGTCACAATGGATAGAAAGATCAGAAAGGAGCTGGACTTTCCCTTGAATGAGTCTGTCTTTTGGACAGATAGCACAATAGTCCTCCATTACATCCGCAGTGACAACAAGCGCTTTCGGACATTTGTGGCTAACAGGATATCTACCATCCGTGATGCCTCGGAGCCCAGGCAGTGGAGATATGTCAACACAGAAAAGAATCCAGCTGATGATGTATCAAGAGGTCTAACGCCAGACAAGCTCAATGGCAGATGGCTCAAGGGACCATCCTTCCTATGTGCTGATGAGATGGAATGGCCTATCGCTCCAGCTGATCTGCAAGTGCCACCAAGTGATCCAGAAATCAAACCACCTACAGAAAATGCCAGTGCATTCACAACTCAGTCAGAGGAGAAGTCATTGGAAAGGCTTATCAACACATATTCCTCCTGGTATAAGCTGAGGAGGGGAGTGAGCTGGCTATTGAAGTTCATGCAGTGGTTGAAACTCAAAGGAAAAACCCAGACAGAGCAAGAGCTGAGGGACTTCAAAAGGATCAGTTACGACGACATGCAGAAAGCAGAGAAGAGAATTTTGCATTACGTGCAAAAATGTTTCTTCCAGAAGGAGATTGAATCATTGACCGATTCAGATGGTAAAGTGACAAAGACAAGTCAACTCTACAAGCTGGACCCTAAGATAGACGAGGGTCTTCTTAGAGTTGGAGGAAGATTGGAGAGATCAGCTCTACCATTAGAAGCTAAACACCCAGTCGTCTTACCCAAGGGAAGTCACGTGTCAGATCTGATCTTGAGAGATGTTCATGTAAAGGCAGGGCATAGTGGAAGAAATTATGTCCTTTCTGTGCTTCGTGAGTAGTATTGGATGCTTGGGGCAGGAGCAGCTATCAGGAGCATGATTAGCAGATGTGTCATGTGCAGGCGGCAAAGAGGGAAGATGATGAGTCAGAAGATGGCTGACCTGCCTGAGAATAGACTGTTACCTGACGAGCCTCCATTTTCCAAGGTTGGCATTGACTATTTCGGCCCCTTTGAGGTTAAAAGGGGTCGCAGCATGGAGAAGAGATATGGAGTCATGTTTACATGTCTTACCACACGCGCCATTCATTTGGAAGTCGCTCATTCTTTGGATACGGACTCTTGTATCAGTGCCATTCGTCGTTTCATCGCTCGCAGGGGCAATATCAAGGAGATGCTCTCAGATAATGGCACTAATCTTGTGGGCGCTGAGAGAGAGCTGAAAAGAGAAATAGATGGATGGAACAAAGCTCAAATCAGCGCAGACCTGCTCCAGAAAGGCATCAAATGGACTTCCAACCCACCCACTGCTTCCCATTTTGGAGGAGTCTGGGAAAGGCAGATTGGGACTGTGAGAAAGCTCATACTGGCAGTAACTAAGCAACAGGTGCTCTCAGGTGAAAGTCTGACAACTCTCTTCTGCGAAATTGAGAGCATCGTCAACAACAGGCCTCTAACAAGTGTATCAGATGATGTCAATGATCTTGAGGCCTTGACTCCCAATCACCTACTTCTGCTGAACAGGAAGCCGCAACTGCCACCAACAGTGACGGACAGATCAGATATATACTCGAGAAGGAGGTGGCGTCAAATACAGTATCTCGCCGACGTATTCTGGAGGCGCTGGTCTAGAGAGTACTTACCGCAGTTGCAAAGAAGAGAAAGATGGGTACCATCGCATCGCAATCTTCAGATTGGTGACTTGGTGCTGGTTGCCGATGCAAACACTCCGCGGAATTCGTGGCTGCTGGGAAGAGTACTTCAAACTTTCCCAGACAAGAAAGGCTTCACCCGTAGTGCGAACATCAAGACAAAGAATAGCGTAATTGTTCGTCCTATCTCGAAATTGTGCCTGATTTTGGAAGGAGATTGTTAATTGCCCTCATTTGGAATTCATGGATCACGTGATGTTTAATCATATAAGAAAGAGAAATTTTTGAGATATATAAATTTCATGATCAAGGAGAATTTGTGTCTCAGAGGATGTCGTCGCAGAAATATGATCATATGAAGATCGTTTGTCAGTGATTTTTATTGGAAATCAGAAGGATCCAATTAGAGCAGAAATGTTATTATCATGAAATGTGATGTCATGATATCGCCAACATTTATTTTACATGAAAGTGTCAAAATGTGACAATTCCTATTCACCGCGAGGATAGAATTTTGTTGAGTTATGAATCGTCTAGTGATCTGGAACTCTCCGACGATTCAGATTTAGTCACCATAGCAACCCAATAGTGACTGATAACTGAGAATTGAGAAACTGAACGGCTTACAAGAAGAGGACATAAACTGATACATTTATAGAAAAATGACTGTCTGCAATTCAAAGACTCATGAACTAATGAACATTAGTGTATTACACTTGAAGTTATGGAGTAATTTGCAAAGTTTCACACGATTTGTTATTTTTCCAGTGTAAAATGTAAACATGGCATTTAGCAGCATTTAAGTTGCAGTAAATGTGCAGTTGTAGCTTCAGTGATTATCAGATTACTGTATATACAATTATGTAAATGTATTGCTTCATTTAACATTCTGGTTTAAGATGGAATCTATTCCAGAATTGGTTTGCATATCATTTTCTTGGTAGTATAGTGGTAAAGTTGTAAAAGATTATTTCATATATTCAGACACAGAAAATGTGAGTTGTGTGTAGAAAGGTTCTACTAGTTGTCATGTTGATTAATGCAATATATGCAAATTTTTATTTGAAAGTATGCCTGATTATCAGGAATTAAGCATATTTGGAAATTTATCACTCCTCATGTCAAGGCACATGTAGTATACATGTAGTTTGCCTTTTAGTACAGTGTTACAAATACAAAGGGTATTAAAATAGGAAAGGTCAAGATTTCAGCTCTTCATGTGAAGCTCGAGTAGAAAGTTACTTACAAACATAAAATGTGTGTTTACGGTACAGTCTAGTTGTTGGTTGTATGTTTAACTTGACACTTCTCTTTCAGATCTCCCATCGTCTGAGTCAGTAGGAGGATTTAGTTTTGGATTAAAACATTTTTAGTGTCATTCCTGGTGTCGGGAATTATAGTGAGGAAGCAGCGTGGTTGCTTACAGTTATCTTTGGAGTCGTCGATGTTTACCAAAATGATTCTAAATTCTGACGAGGAATGTTGGGAGTTCTGATAGGGTTGTCATGGTGATGTTGAGAAGGATATTTGCTTTATGTAGTGCATTTGATATACACTTGGGGCATTTTATGCAAATGTCAAAGCTTTTGAAATTACTTAGTTGGTTGCTGAAAAGAAACTCTTCAGATATTATGTTGATATTAATGGTCAAGATCATTAAATAGGTTAAAGGTGATTAGTTATTTAAAGGTGTGAAGAAAAAAAAAAAAGGTCACTTGAACAGTATAAGAAGTTGAAGAATTTAAAGGAACAATGATTTATTGCGAGTAGCAATTGTGGATAGACTTAATTTTGAAATGTTTCAAATGAACAAAGTATTGTTAAATGTTCAGAAAGGCTTCTCATTTAAGAGGGCCGGAATGTGGAGTACAGGATGACGTTTTGGCTTGAAGCCGATGCTTGTGATGTCACAGGCGTCGCTTTGTAGAAAGAGTATGGATTAGGTCGCTTGAGGGCGTACTGGATTTTGTGTGTTACTGATTTTCCACGTCATGGGATAGTTGCCTCCCAGAGTTGCCTAAATTTTCGTTTAATTTTGTGATACAAGCCCAATGATGTAAGTAGAAATGAATATGTTATCTTGAAGTTTATGAGATATATTGTCTTTACAGCTAGATAGCTTAATGAAATATGATGTTTATGACACTAATTTGAGATGATGAAATATGACATGAATGAGTCGTTCAAGTGAAAGATTGTACACGTGTATGTAAGTTACGTAATTGTCGTGCACGGAGAGTGCGTCTAAATGTACATGTACGTAGTAGTATAATTATGACCTTGAAGAATGACAAAGTCACCGTCGGTGCGTCATTAATTGTTGCATGTATTTACCGTAGTCAGATATATAGTGAAGAAAGCATTGTTTATTTTCCTTTGTTATGATAACAGATAGTTATTAGGATTTGATACATGATATGTTATTTTCATGTCTGTTTATGCAAGTTGACTTATTATTGTTTATCCTTTTATTAAATCGCAGATTGAACCTTGCCTGCTACAGTGTGTATATAACCAAATTACAGCGGTTCGGTGTCTTTACTATGGGTCCAGGGCATCTGGGTTGGTTCGCCAAATCGTACACCACGGTGTTAATATTAATGATGCTAGTGGAGTTTAAGATTTTCACATGGTCAGACGGAAAGCTTATCTCATGACAGTTTCGTCTATTCCTTAGATAGATGGATAGTCGAATTTATTTCATTCATCATAAAAAAAACATTTTGATAAAGTATCATACAATATCGCATTCATATAAAATCAAAATAAGAAACATTACAAAGATAATCATACAGTATAATATACATCATAAAGACAGCTATTTAGAAAGGAAACGCCTTATTAGTGCTGCCACCTACACAATAACTGAAACTGAAAATTTGAAATTAGGATAAGATGAGAGTCTATCAAGAACAGATTGAAAATTTACAGCATAAATATAAGCATATATACTCATAAGATTAACAACAAACAAAAACAAAAACAAGAACAAAAATGAATTACTTACATTAACAAAGACAAAAAAAAACCAAAAAAATGATCTAACATTGCTAATATATTTAATGAGTAGTACGTTTTTCTGTATCTCCTTTAAAAATCATTTAGTGATGGTCTAGATTTAATATATAATGGTAAAGTGTTCCAGATGTTGTGCCCTTTGAAAAAATGCAATGTTTAGCTAGTGAGGTGCGTATTTTCGGTAAATGGAACTTTGAAGATCAACGTCTATTTTAGGATTAATAGGAATGTATATTGGCATTACAACAAAACATTTCTGAAATACTATTTGGTAGGCCCCATATATAGTTTTTAAAACAAAAAAAGTATATACATAAAAATTGCAATTTCATAATCAGAACATTCGAATATATTCAACATATTCAGGTTATTATTAATTAAAGATAATTAGCACGCAAAATTATTTTCACTGCTCTTTTTTGTAATCTTTATAAACGTAGCATTGAATATGTAGCCGAGGAATTTCAGGCAAGTTTCCAGTATTGAAAATGAGGTGAAATAATTGAATTATAGATCATTTTGAGTACATTTTGTAGAAATTGCTTTAACTTATTGAGAAAACCTATACTTTAAAAAAAAATTCGTGCAGATGTCATCAAAATGCTCATTAAGGATAAATTACTATCTATAGTCACAACCCAAATTTAAAAAAAAACACCAACGATCAATAATGTTGTCTCATTCAAAGAAACAATTATATTATTATAATCAATCGACTTGTTTGAAGAAAAAAAAAATCATTTAATGGGTTTTAATTATGCTATAGCAATAGAGGAGTTGGTTTAATTTGATCATGTGTAGGGTTATTAGTTTGACATTGTTTATATCTAACTTTAGATTTACAGGTGTTTATTTCCGATAAATACGTTAGACAATAGGCTTTTTTTCCGGGGATCTAACATTCTTGCGGGGCTATAGGCTCCTCCTACTTTCTCTGGTACGCAATCAGAACCACTCTATATAATTATAGTGTTATGTCATTGTTTATATTAAATTGAATGTATAACCCCTCTCTTGATTGGTAGATTGAACTAATCTCGAGGTCGGGTGGCTTACGGATCATTCTATATATCCTATTGTGTAATTGGTTGTGTTCGTAAGGGCCCTTCCGATTGGCTAGTAATATTATGTGACATTGAAGCCGTGCCGGGTGGCGTATTTTTTTTCCCAC